CTCCTCCTCCTCCTCCTCCTCCTCCTCCTCCTCCTCTCCACCAACCCCCATCCCTTCTAGCACTGATGATGTTCTCTAGCTGGGTCCTGAAACGTCTGCCAGAAAACCACCCAGCTCAGAGAGCGCCCAGGGGACCCCTCATGTCTCTTTTCCTGCTCCCTTGACTCATCCTACGGACACTAGTGGGACCCAATGGGTGTTGAGCAGAGCAGGGGATGCCACCCCCTTTCTTAGCACGGGGGGCCTTGATGGCTGCAAAGACCCCAGGTGTGGGGCACTTCTTCACGGCAGGTCCCGCTAACTCGCGCGCTCTCCTCCTCTTCCTCCTTGCAGGTTACCAACACCACGATCCCTCTCGCTTCCGGTCCCCGGCCTACAGCATGGGCAGCCGACGTTTCCAGATGCTGGACAGCTGCTCTCCAGGACCGGGTTACATGGTCCCCACCAACATGACCATGAGAGGCAAGGATGGGATCCCTGCCTACTCCATCTACGGGCGCCCCAAGGATGGGGCGACCTTTCGGACGCCAGGGCCAGGTCAGTGTCGGGACTGGGTGGCCAAAATATCCTAGGTCGCCTTCTCCGGGATGGGTGATGGACTAGAAGCAAACCAACAAAGAGGATCAGGGGACCGGAGGTTGAAACATATACAGAACGGTGGCTGGAATTGGGGATGTCTAGTTTATGGAAGAGAAAGACAAGGGGGGACAGGATAGCAGCCTTCCAATATCTCAGGGGCTGCCCCAAAGAAGAGGGAGTCAAGCTATTCTCCAAAGCCCCTGAAGGCAGGAGAAGAAGCAACAGATGGAAACTCATCAAGGAGAGAAGCAACCTGGAACTAAGAATGGAATTTCCTGACAGTGAGAACAATTAACCAATGGAACTCCTTGCCTCCAGAAGTTGTGGATGCTCCATTGCTGGAGGTTTTAAAGAAGACATTGGACAGCCATTTGTCTGAAATGGTATAGGGTTTCCTGCCTGAGCAGGGGGTTGGACTAGATGACCTCCAAGGTCCCCTCTTCTCTTCTCTTCTCTTCTCTTCTCTTCTCTTCTCTTCTCTTCTCTCTTCCCTTTCCTTCCCTTCCCTATATTCCAGTGATGGCGAACCTTTTAGAGACCGAGTGCGCAAACTGCAACCCAAAACCCACTTATGCGTCATCGGGTGCCAGGTGGGTGTGGCCAATTGGGTGGGTGTGGCTGCAGTGGTAACCGCAGACTGGGCGGGACTAAAAAGTTCAATCAATCAATTCCAACTTTGCAAGATCTTTTTTTTCCCCGCGAGAAGTTGAAATTGACTGATTGAACCTTTTTTTTTTTTGTACATGGTGGCAGAGGCCTAAAGCGAAAAGGTTGTATAAAACCCAGCTGAAGGCCCAGGACTGGGGCGACGGCGCGCGTGCCCACAGAGAGGGCTCGGAGTGCCGCCTTTGGCACCCGTGCCATAGGTTCACCACCACTGGTATATGCTGTTCTGTTCTACTCTATTCTATAGGAATTTCCTACCAGTGAGAACAATCAATCAGTTGTGGGTGCTGCCCACACTGGCGTCTCCTGTGATATTCTGTTATGTTTGGGGAAGGGCCGCACGTGTTTCCTCTCCCCTTCCTCAAAAGAGCCCCTCCTTTGCTTTCCCTCGCAGGTCGCTATTCTCCGGAGAAAGCTGGGAAGTTGGCTTATCCATGTGCCCCAAATTACTCAATGGCTTCGCGGACAAAGGACTTCCAGAATGAGCAGACACCAGGTGAGAGGGAGGGTGGACCCAGTCGGACCCCGACAGCAGCCCAGACCACCACGTGGCCATTTAGTCTTGTCGCACAAGTGGCTAGTCCATAGTTAAGCCCACTAATTAACCTCTCCCCCAAATTAGACGAAGAGACCTGTATTAAGAGGTTCGCCCGACTCTTTTAATATGCGACTAGTTCTTGACTTAAAACCGTTCAAAATGACAGCGGCACGGGAAAAAAAGGGAGATTTGCGACCAGTCCTCACGCTTACGACCGTCGTGACATTCCCCATCATGACATGATCAAAATTTGGGCGCTTGGCAGCCTGCACGTATTTATGACGGTTGTATCGTCGCATTGTTGCCGTTTGCGACATTCCCAGCTGCCCTCCGACAAGCAAAGCCAAAGGAGGAAGAGGGATTCGCTTAACGATCGCAGCGTTTCACTTAACAACGTAACACATTGTAGAATTGAACGTGATTCATTTAACGACTGCCTGGCATAGCATTGGGAATTCTTGTCCCGCTTGTCGTCGTAAGTTGAGGGTGATGTGTAGGCCACACAAAAATCAGAACGAGGGTCAGGGGTGCTGCACACCATTATTGCCGATCTGGTCCGACCGAGGGAGCTGCCATCTTTGCGTTGTTGCCTTACAAGAGTGGCTGCCAACACATCTCGCAGTGCTGACGTGGCAAACTCTCATGTGTGGGGGGGAATCCACCAAGGGGGGGGGTCTCCACAACTGTGTGGTTGAAGCCCCTCTTCCTTTGTTGAATGCACATACACAGCTAAGGAGCATCGTTGGGTTGCGTTGCTTTGTGTTGCTTTGTTGTGTTGTGTTGCTTTGCTTTGCCTTGGGTTGCTTTGTTGTGTTGTGTTGCGTTGCTTTGCACTGCTTTGCTTTGTGTTGCTATGTTTTGCTATGTGTTGTGTTGCTTTGTTACTTTGTTTTGCTTTATGTTCCATTGCTTTGTGTTGCTTTGCTTGGCGTTGTGTTGCTTTGCGTTGCGTTGCATTTCATTGCTCTGTGTCGCTTTGTTGGGTTGTGTTACATTGCTTTGCACTGCTTTGCTTTACCTTGAATTGTTTTGTTTTTCTTTGTGTTGCTTTGTGTTGCTATGTTTTGCTATGTGTTGTGTTGCTTTGTGTTGCTGTTTTGCTTTGTGTTGTGTTGCTTTGTGTTGCTTTTTTTGTTGTGTTCCATTGCTTTGCGTTGCTTTGTTTTGCTATGTGTTGTGTTGCTTTGTGTTGCTTTGTTTTGCTTTATGTTCCATTGCTTTTCTTTGCTTTGTTTTGCTATGTGTTGTGTTGCTTTGTGTTGCTTTGTGTTGCTTTGTTTTGCTTTATGTTCCATTGCTTTTCTTTGCTTTGTTTTGCTTTGTGTTCTGTTACTTTGCGTTGCTTTGTGCTGCTTCCTCCCTCCCGGCAAAGCCCTCCTGGCCCCCCCACTCCGAGCCCTGACTGTGCCCTCCCTTGCCCCCCCAGGGCCCGCCGCCTACGGCCTCCCTCCCATGCTGGGCCCCAAAGTGATCGGGAAGAGCTCGGCTCCCAATTACTCCATTTTCGGACGCAGCGCCGTGGGCAGCTTCTACGAGGACCTCAGCCGGGTAGGGGGGACGGGCCGCGGGCGGGGAATCCAGCCACGGGGCATTCTCTCCCCCCCCCAGCACAGAGCATGGACAGAGTGCTCAGACCAGAGAGCACCGGGCATCCAGAATGGTCGGCCGGCCTGGAGGAGGGAATCCCAAAGCCTTTTGCACCCTGGCCGAGAAAACTCCACTGGGGAAACTGAGGCCAAAAATCAAGGCCTGCTGGGGTACCCATTTGTGGGGTAAAGGTGGGGGGGGGGCTGGGTGGTAGAGTAGAAGGACCCTTGACTGGGCAGCTGGTTTATGCCCCAGAACAGCCACGCCCACCCTCAAAACCAACCCCGGGGGGTCTTCCGTGGGCAGCCCTCTTATTAAGGGGGGTGGGCTTTGGTGGGAAGCAGCTGCCACGGGGCAGGAGGGTGGCAGGCCTCGTTTATTTATTATTGGACAGATATTTGAGTCTCCTGCTCGAACAGGGGTTGGACTAGATGACCTCCAAAGTCCCTTCCAACCTCTTCTCTTCTCTTAGCTCTATATTCTATTCTATTCCAGTCTGCTCTACTACTATTCTATTCTATTCTATTCTATTCTATTCTATTCTATTCTATTCTATTCATTGTATTCTCTACTCTATTCTATTGTATTCTTTATTTTATTCTCTACTCTATTTTATTCTATTCTATTCTTTATTGTATTCTCTACTCTACTCTATTCTTATTCTATTCTAATTCTATTCTATTCTTTATTGTATTCTCTATTCTATTCTATTCTGTTTTCTACTCTACTCTATTCTTATTCTATTCTATTCTATTCTATTCTTTATTGTATTCTCTACTCTATTCTTATTCTATTCTATTCTATTCTTTATTGTATTCTCTATTCTTATTCTATTCTATTCTTTATTGTATTCTCTACTCTACTCTATTCTTATTCTATTCTATTCTATTCTTTATTGTATTCTCTATACTTACTCTATTTTATTCTATTCTATTCTTTATTGTATTCTCTACTCTACTCTACTCTATTCTACTCTACTCTACTCTACTCTACTCTACTCTATTCTTTATTGTATTCTCTACTCTACTCTACTCTACTCTACTCTACTCTACTCTATTCTTTATTGTATTCTCTACTCTACTCTACTCTACTCTACTCTACTCTACTCTATTCTTTATTGTATTCTCTACTCTACTCTACTCTACTCTACTCTACTCTACTCTATTCTTTATTGTATTCTCTACTCTACTCTACTCTACTCTACTCTATTCTTTATTGTATTCTCTACTCTACTCTACTCTACTCTACTCTACTCTACTCTACTCTATTCTTTATTGTATTCTCTACTCTACTCTACTCTACTCTACTCTACTCTCTATTCCGTGGGGCAGGGGCTGCCAGGGAGAAGGCGCCCTTCCTGGCTCCCATCAGATGTCAAGGTTTAGGGCAAAGGACCAGGAGTGTGCCCACCCTATCTGACCCAGTAGGATGAGTTAATGTCTTTAGGGAAAGGTGACCCTGAAGGTAACCTGCCCTTGTGCCCTAGAGAGCATTAAAAGGTGAAGACTAGCACCTTGAATTGCATCCGGAAGGAAACTGGAAGCCAGAGCGACTCATACAACAGAGGGGTTTCATGGGCAAAGTTACACCCCTCCCCCGGTTACTTTCCACGCTGGAGCATTCTGGATGGGGCCCACGGGCTGGGACCCTGAGGAGTGGAGTAGACAGTTTGTGATGCTCAACTTCCCTCCCCCCACAGACTCCGGGACCGTGCAATTACCGCGTGGTGGACACCGGGGTCTACAAGAACCGCCCCCCGCATTACAGCATCATTGCGCGGAACATGCTCCCAGGGGACACCACCATCATTCCTGGCCCCGGGGCCTACAGTCCGGAGAAGGTGAGAGCGTGCAAGGGGGGCTTCTGTGGGGGTCCCATGCAGCCAAGGGGTCATAGGATGCAGGGGGAGGGGGCCGCTCCCGGAGTCAGCCCTTCGTTTCAACCGTTTGCTTCCTTGCCCTCTGCCAATACAGGGAGTCCTCCAGTTACGACCAGGATGGAGCCTGCCCATCACGGTCGTAACCCATGACGTGGGGCAGCTTTCTAGCCCCCCCCTCTTTCTTTTCCCCCCAAGAAGTAACACCGCCTTTTTTTCCCCTTTTCTTCTCTTGCCCCCTTCCCAAAATCCCACAGCACAATCCACTCCATGGCTTGACCTTCGGGATCCGCCACTCGGACTACGTGGCGCCTCTGATCGTGGACGTGGCAGATTAGACCACGGTTGGGTGGGCCGGACAAGAAGCCGTTCTTTGCCATCTCTGGGTCTCCCGTCGATGCTTGTGTGGGGGGGGGTTCCCATTTGGGGCAGGGAGGGGGGTCATCTACAGAGGGCTTTCCAAACCTGGCAACTTTAAGACTTGTGGACCTCAACTCCCAGAATTCCTCAGCCAGCAACGCTGGCTGAGGAATTCTGGGAGTTGAAGTCCCCAAGTCTTAAAGTGGCAAGTTTGGGGACTGGCTGAGGAATTCTGGGAGTTGAAGTCTTAAATTGCCAAGTTTGGGGACTGGCTGAGGGATTCTGGGATTTGAAGTCCCCAAGTTGTCAAGTTTGGGGGCTGGCTGAGGAATTCTGGGAGTTGAAGTCCCCAAGTCTTCAAGTGGCCAAGTGTGGAGACACCTGATCTGTGGGGCTTAGAATGACCGGATGGAGCCTTGCACTTCATTGGGCAGACTTCCTAAACCTCTCGTTCTTTTATTTCCAGCCAACTGAGAGGTTTGGGTATGGATTGAAGGGTGGTGGGACAGAGGGACAATGTTGGCATCCCAAGGGAAGACGATATTTGTAGTTCAGGTGGAAGTGCTCTCTGAGCTTGGAGGTTTTCTTGTAGACATTTCATGACCCAAGTAGGTAACATCATCAGTGCTGGAAGGAGGAGGAGGAGGAGGAGGAGGAGGAGGAGGAGGAGGAGGAGGAGGAGGAGGAGGAGGAGGAGGAGGAGGAGGAGGAGGAGGACGAACTGTGGGGTCCTTGGTGCTCTCTGAGCTTGGCTGCTTTCTTGAAGACATTTCATGACCCAGCTAGGTAATATCATCAGAGCTTATGCTCTGATGATGTTACCTAGCTGGGTCATGCAACATCTACAAGAAAGCAACCGAGCTCGAAGAGCACCAAGGATGACACAATACCAGACCTGCTGGCTGGGGAATTATCAATCAGCACAGAGCTGGAAGGGACCTTGGAGGTCTTCTAGTCCAACCCCCTGCTCAAGCAGGAGATCCTATACCCTTTCGGAATTCTGGGAGCCAAAGTCCACCCCTCTTAAAGATGCCAAGGTTGAGGTTGGATTTGCCAACAGCCTCTTTGCGAATCCTGTACCTAAAGCTTTGGGGCCTTTTTCTGATCCTGGGTCGGTAGAAAGTAGATGTTGAATATCTGGGCGAGTGTTACCTGCTTGGTTCCAAGGTGGGCAGATCCAGTTTGAAGTTGCTCAGGGTGCTTGTCTCCTCCCTTCGTGGCTGAAGGTCTGGAGAAGTGTCTACTGGAACTCAAATGGTCATCGGACAATGCTCAAGGCTCAGTCCACATCTAAACCACACATGGAAATCAGGCCGCTTGTGTTCCTCACCTCTTCTTGCTAAAAGAGTGCTCAAAACATCAAACAGAAACATCTTGTGGTATCTGCCCATGGTTACATCTCACCAAGGAAGAAGAAGGACGAAACACAAAGAGTGGAGGATAAACAAAGAGAAGAGGCACCCCAAGACCAGGATTAATGGATTTGTCTTGGCCTTCTTTGGTCATGGTGTCCTTCTGGCTAGCCGAGGGTGGTGAGAAGGGGAGACCCCAGTCTTCAGGGTTCTCTTCCTTCTTCTGCGGATGGTTCTGGAGGGTGTCGGCGTGGAAAAAAGGTCTAGGCCAGCCTTTCTCGAGCCCGGCGCTGGGAATTCTGGGAGCTGAGGTTCACACACCTTAAGGTGGCCAAGTCTGAGAAATGATGGTCTCACCAAGCATCTCTAAACTTGGCAACTTGCGCACTTCAGTCCCCAGAATTCCTCAGACAGCTTGTCTATCTGAGGAATTCTGGGAGTTGAAGTCTGCAAGTCTTAAAAGTGGCCAAGTTTGGACATCCCCCCCCCGGTTGAGGAATTCTGGGAGTTGAAGTCCACAAGTCTTAAAAGTGGCCAAGTTTGGACACCCCCCCTCCCGGTTGAGGAATTCTGGGAGTTGAAGTCCACAAGTCTTAAAAGGGCCAAGTTTGAAGACCCCTGCTTGTGGACTTCAGCTCCCAGAATTCCTCAGCCAGCGTGCCTGGCTGAGGAATTCTGGGAGTTGAAGTCCACAAGTCTTAAAAGTGGCCAAGTTTGGAGACCCCTGCTCTAGGATAACCTCTGCCCCCACCCTCCTTCCATAGGAGCCTGAAGACCTGACTGTGGGTTGCCCTCAGGTCCCAATGGGGGAGCTCCATGCTGGAGGGGGGGGCTGCTGAACTGATGGCAGAGCCCACCTCCCCACCTCCTCGTTCTCTGCTCTCCACCCATCCATCTTTTCTGGTCGCCCTATTGATGTATTATTATTACCGTCCTATTCCTTTTCATTGCTTCTGTTAGGGCTCAGTTATTTTACTTCTGTTCTGCTTACACACTTTTCATTTCTTCCTTTTCATTGTCTTAAGCCGCCTGGAGTGGCCCCACATACGTGTCAAAATAAATCAAATAAATATAAATATTAAATGAATGAAATTAAATGAAAGTAAAAAATAAATAAATAAAATAAGATACAAATGTCCAGTTGTACATCTTTACCTTGGGCCCAAAAGATCTGGGAACCCTGGAAAGAGACCCTAGCAGGGTTGACGGAGGGGTGTGTGTGGGGGTAGAGATTGTGTTGTGGATTTGCAAAATTGCTCCACATTCTTGCACCATTTCTTCTGCTAAAATTGTGCACGGGTGTTGCCACAGCCCAGACTGTTCAGCCCTTCACAGTAATCCCAGATTAGGAAACTATGCAGGCTCACCCTACGTTCAGTATAAGGTTATCATCCAGGCAATCTTCAATTTACAACTGCAGTTGAGCCTACACGTGGGTCAAGGGTGCGCTGGCAGGAAAGAATAGAATAAAAACACAAATTTTGAAATACAAAAAGTAAGGGAAGAAATAAATAACAAGAAAGAAAAAGAGGAAAAGGAGAGAAAGAAAGAAAGAAAAAGAAAGAAAGAAAGAGAAAAAGGAAGGAAGGGAAGGAAGGGGGAAGGAGTGGAAAGGGAAGGAAAGGAAGGAAGGAAAGAAAGAATGAGAAAGAAAGGAAAAGGAGAAAGAGGAAAGAAAGAAAGAAGGAAGGAAGGAAGGAAGGAAGGAAGGAAGGAAGGAAGGAAGGAAGGAAGGAAGGAAGGAAGGAAGGAAGGAAGGAAGGAAGGAAGGAAAGAAATAATGAGAAAGAAAAAATAAAGAGGAAAAGGAAAAAGAAAGAAAGGGAAAGGGAAGGGAAGGAAGAAAAGAAAGAAAGAAATAATGAGAAGGAAAAAATAAAGAGGAAAAGGAGAAAGAAAGAAAGAAGGAAGGGGGAAGGAGGGGAAAGGGAAGGAAAGGAAGGAAGGAAAGAAATAATGAGAAAGAAAGAAAGAAAGAAAAAGAAAGAAAAAGAGAAGGAAGGAAGGATGGGGGAAGGAGGGGAAAGAAGGGGGAAGGGAAGGAAGGAAGGAAAGGAAGAAATAATGAGAAAGAAAGAGGAAAAGGAGAAAGAAAGAGAAAGAAAGAAGGAAGGAAGGGGAAAGGGAAGGAAGAAAAGAAATAATGAGAAGGAAAAAATAAAGAGGAAAAGGAGAAAGAAAGAAAGAAAGAAAGAAAGAAAGAAAGAAAGAAAGAAAGAAAGAAGGAAGGAAGGAAGGGGGAAGGAGGGGAAAGGGAAGGAAGGAAGGGAAGAAATAAATAATGAGAAAGAAAAAAAGGAAAAGGAAAGAAAGAGAAAGAAGGAAGAAAGGAAGAAAGAAAGAAAGAAAGAAAGAAAGGAAAGAAGGATATAAAGAAATGACTTCTGCTCTCCTTAACAGCAGCTCCAAGTACATTAATAGTTTACCCTGTCTAAGGTTACAACATCACTTTCTTTTCTTCTTTCGCTTTCTATTCCGCCCTTTCTAATCCTCAAACCCGTAAGTCACGTGTTCCTTTGTTTTCTTGTTCCAGCAAAGGAAAGAAAAGGAAAGGGGGGAAAAAATAAGGTCCACCGGGGCTTCCCCTGACCAGTACGTGAGTCATTGCCCTTCCCTTAGTAAAAATCAATTTTTCCATCTCTGCAGATTTTGTCATCTTCCCGGGCTGTTTGTCCGCGGTGAGTCCTCCCTTCAGAGTCTTTCCGGGGGGGTGTCTTTTTTTTTGGGGGGTGGGCATCTACTCATCTTGAGAAACCCTGATTTAAAGACTGCCATAAAGTTGGGTGGTGGGTGGTGTTTGTCAAGGACAGCCTCTGCCTAGACTTGCTTCCCCCCCACAAAAAGTCAACCACAATTCAAGAAAAGTTTTGCTGGTCTGGGCAAGCGAGGCGAAACAGAAACAGGCGTTGCCCTGTTTGAAGCTGTGTGCTTTGTGTAAACCGTTGTGTGAGTGATTGATCAACAACGGTTGGCAGCCGCACAAAAGCCAGTCACTTAAGGACAAGGGGAAACCCGGTGAGGGTTAAGGTCAGTGTCCAGTTGGTGGCCTGGCTGGTCCACTGCCCTTTCCCCCCCCCCCACTCTTGAAAGGCCTGGGGGGCAAAGGGCAGGTGGGGTTTAAGGGCATTTAAACTGGCATCTCAAGGCACAGCCTCTCCACCCCCTCTAACCCACTTGGGGGGAACCGAACGGGGGCTGCCCCACTCACCCTGCGAGGTAGGACCGAGTGGCAGAGCCTCCGCGTAGGAGGCCGATTGGGGATCACGCTGCATCACTCGGGGGATTAAAAATAAGGACTTTTGCCTTTTTTTTATATATATAAAAAAATAAAAGTTTATTAGCCCAAGCCAGAAAGAAACCATGGTATCAACAGCTTCCAAACACTGTAAACCACTGAGATCGTAGCAGGACAGCAATGAGTAAAAAAACCATGTTCTTTATTATTATTATTATTATTATTATAGATCATCGCCCAGTCAGCCAGATGTTCAGACTGGATTTGGCATTTTGTCTACCTATCGAGTCCTTACCCAGGACCTGGGATAGGCAGATGTGGATGTTTGATGGTATTACAGATCTCGTCGCAGGATGAAAGCAGTTCCTATTACTATTATTATTATTATTATTATTATTATTATTATTATTATTATTATTATTATTATTATTATTATTATTATTATTATTATTATTACTGATCATTGCACAGTCAGCCAGATGTTCAGACTGGATTTGGCATTTTGTCTACCTAGCGAGTCCTTCCCAAGGACCTGGGATAGGCAGATGTGGATGTTTGATGGTATTATAGATATCGTTGTTGTTGTTATTATTATTATTATTATTATTATTATTATTATTATTATTATTATTATTATTAGAATGTTCAGTTGACTGAGGTTCACGTCTAATGAATAATAATAATAATAATAATAATAATAATAATAATAATAATAATAATAATAATAATAATAATAATAATAATATAATCCCAGTACATGTTTGAACACCCGACATGTCAAAGATTAACCGATGCAACGAAACGAGCAACAGGAACCGCGTTGCGACATTTCCAGTCATTGCCAAAATTCCCCAAGCCACGTCCCGCTCTGGCTGTCAGGGAGCGGCAGTTGGCAAGGAAACAGCTGGGCTGCCAGAGCAGCAAAAACTTACAAGCCACATCTGGTTCTGCTCCTGCTCGGCTTGGAGAAACACCGAGGACGCCACCTCGGCCTCTGTTCTCCTCTGCTCCAAGCTGACACTGTAGCCGGTCTCTGCCCTCTGCTCCTCTCTCTCTCTCTCTCTCTCTCTCTCTCTCTCTCTTGTGCCGGGATCCTGCTTCGCCTTGACCCCCGGATCGCAGAGAGGGTTCAAGTCCTTCCCCAGCCTCTGCCAAGGCCGGCCCCCCACTCCCCCTGTCCCTGGAACAGGACTCTCTAGTGGGACTTCCGGACAGGCGCCTGTTGGCCCATCCGCCAAGGGAGGACCTCGGTGCTCAGAGGTGAGTTCTCCAGGTGTGGCCACCCTAATCTCAGGGGTCCAGGCAGGTGCTGGGCAGGCCCTGTCTTGAGGTCTCACTTACTCACTCCTTTTCTTTCTGAGCTGGCTCCCTTTCTTCCACCTGGTTGGCAGCCCTCGGTGGTCCTCTCCCCTCTTCCCCAGTCTCTCTCCTTCTTGATTAGACGAGTTTCCGGCCCCTTCCTCATTCCTGCAGCTGCCCAGCGGTCAGCCGCCTCTCCCCTCCTGGAGGGATGGGACACAAATAGAGAAAAACAGAGTTGGGGGGACTTTGGAGGTCTTCTAGTCAACCCCTCTGCTTGAGCAGAAGATCCTGTACCATTTTGTACAGGTAGCTGTCCAGTCTCTTCTTAAACAGCGTCCAGTGATGGAGCGCCCACAACTTCTAGTGGCAAGTTGTTCCACTGTTTAATTGTTCTCACAAATAGAAAGAGGCTAGCTGCTTCAGAACGAGGAAAAACTTTCTCTCTTTCTTTCCTTTGTTTTTTCTCTTTCTTTCTTTCTTTCTTTCTTTCTTTCTTTCTTTCTTTCTTTCTCTTTTTTCTTCTTTCTTCTCTTCTCTTTCTTTTTCTTTTGTTCTTTCTTTCTCTTTCTTTTTTCTATCTTTCTTTTTCCTTTCTGTCTCTATCTTTCTTTCTTGCTTGCTTGCTTGTTTGCTTTTGATTTCATAGCTGTCCATCTCAGCAAATGACTCATCAATGCCACAGAAAGATTGTGCAATCCGTAGTATTAAATGTTTGACTCAAATATGGGCAGCAAACCAACTTCGGGAGAGTCTGTTCTTCTGTTTAGTTATATTTAACATTTTATTAAGCCTCTTTTTCTAAAAACCTAAAACTTTCTGACGTTCCCAACAGGAGCTCAAAAACCTTCCGGTCAATTTACAACCTCGCTGGCAAATTGCTGAATATTTAGAGTAGAAAGGTGAGATTCAAAATTTGAGGACCTCAACATCCAAGCAGCGCTCAGCGCACGGACACATTTGGGACCAGAACTCCTGTGGCTAAGAAAGGGACAGATTGCACTGTGGTTCCTTCCGCAGCTAATGTCTTCCCCAAGAGACCCCGCACGTCCAGGTAATTTCCCCCCCACACCAATTTTCAAAGTGGGATGCATAATTAACAAAGCAATGACCCCCCCATGGGTGGGGGCAATGGGGCCATTTGCATAATCAGGAGCCAGATCAACCCAAGAGGAGGCACACGGGAGGGGGAGACGCAATAAGATCCTGTGGCGTTGCTTGGCCACAGCTGCTCTGCCCATGTGCAGAGTGTAATAATAATAATAATAAAGTTGGAAGGGACCTTGGAGGTCATCGAGTCCAAACCCCTGCTCAGGCAGGAAACCCCAAACCATTTCGGACAAATGGCTGTCCAGTCTCTTCTTCAAAACCTCCAGTGTTGGAGCATTCACCGCTTCTGGAGGCAGGTTGTTCCACTGGTTAATTGTTCTCGCTGTCAGGAAGTTTCTCCTTAGTTCTAGGTTGCTTCTCTCCTTGATGAGTTTCCATCTGTTGCTTCTTGTCCTGCCTTCAGGCGCTTTGGAGAATAGCTTGACTCCCTCTTCTTTGGGGCAGCCCCTGAGATATTGGAACACTGCTATCATGTCCCCCCTCGTCCTTCTCTTCATTAAGCTAGACATACCCAATTCCAGCAACCGTTCCTTATATGTTTTAGCCTCCAGCCCTCTGATCATCTTTGTTGCTCTTCTCTGTACTCTTTCTAGAGTCTCAGCATCTTTTTTACATCGTGGTGACCAAAACTGTACGCCGTATTCCAAGTGTGGCCTTACCAAGTTTCCCCTCTGCTAAGTGCGCGGGGTTGTGACACTTTTTAGAAGGGGGGGGACAAGGAAGGGAGTGCCCTCTTCTTGCTATATTGTTGTCCCCTCCCCGTCTCAACCGTGGCCCCTGTTTTGCTTTCGCAGGGCCCGGCCCCAAGGACTCCGAGGAAGGCGGCCTAATTAGCATCCCGGAAATTATTCGGAAGAAACGAGATGGTCAGGCGCTGCAACCGGGGGAAATCCGCTACTTCGTGCAAACTCTGGGCAGTGGCAGATCGCGGGAGGGGCAAACCGGTGAGCCTGCCTGTCGGAGCGTGCACAGTCTTATTGCGCTGAGATAACCCAGGAGTAAACACAGTAAACAGTGGTTTGTATTAAATGGTGCTTTATCTTACACTATCTACAACAGTGGTGGCGAACCTATGGCACGTGTGCCAGAGGCAGCACTCAGAGCCCTCTCTGTTGGCACGCGCACCACCGCCACCAGCAGCAGGTCCATCAGGCCGCCACCGCCACCCGGAGCAGGAGCTCCACCCAGCACAAAGGAGGTGAAACGGCCGACTAGCATTTTACATGCGTCCATGCACACATGGGGCCACGAGCACGCATGTACTGCAAATGGGGCAGGGCTAGTGCCTGTGTGATACTCACTAGCCCTGCCCCATTCTTGTGTGGTGCAGCGCCTTGTATCTGCACCTTGCGGTACAGCGACAGCCGTTTTTATGGCTTGCAGCATGGTGGTCCATTTTTGTGGCCCCGGTTTTTGCATGCCAGAGGCGGCACTCAGAGGCGCTTCCCTGCCCCCCACCTGAGGGCACCACAATGCTGATGCGGCCCTGGCACTTTGCAATAAATAAGTGGGTTTTGGGTTGCGGTTTGGGCGCTCGGTCTCTAAAAGGTTTGCCGTCACTGATCTACAATATCATGTACCAGGAACAATATACGTACACGTGCTAATACAGCAGGATCCAACAAACCACAGTTACAGCAGGAAATGGAAGAGAAAAAGAACACGTCAGCAGAGCCTTCCTTTTATACAGAGGCTCTTAAAGAGACACAGACCCTGCTGAGTCATTCCCATCATTACATCTTACCTCTTACATTACATAAGCTGGTTAGCTGTTAAATCAATACCTTGACACTGGCAGAGGTGGTGGGAGGGAATTGTGGGGTGTGTGTGTAGGCTGGCATGTGGACAAGTAGGGACCGGGGGCTCTCCTGTAGCTCACACTGCACTCAACCCCTTTGGACCCCATAGAACCATGGTTTGCAAATGACAGCTTCCCCTTTTTTTTAATAGTTATTTTTCTTTAAATTAAAACGTTCTTAAAATGAAGTCATTAAATACTTTTTTTAAATCAAAAGAGTTAAATGGTTTTAAAACAAATAATTAAACCCTTTTTCCATCTGGGACCCCTCCCACCCAACCCCTCTCCCCTCTTCTTCCAGGGGCTATGCTGATGGCCATCCGCTTGCGAGGCATGGATCCCTGCGAGACCCTGGTGCTGACCCGGGAAATCGCGGCTTCGGGGACCACCCTGGAGTGGCCGGCACAATGGCGAGGGCTGCTGGTGGACAAGCACTCCACGGGGGGCGTGGGGGACAAAGTCAGCCTGCCCCTGGCGCCGGCGTTGGCGGCCTGTGGCTGCAAGGTGCGTCACGATGGCCAGCTGCCACCTTCCTGGCTCACATCTGGCTTTGATGCCAGATGGTCGTGAATCCTGGTTTCCTTAATGTCTGAATGTGGCCCGGATCCTCTGCAAATCCAGGCAAACTTCCCTCTTTGGGCTTCTCCAATCCACAAAATGAAGAACAGCAACTGGATCACCCACTTGGGTGGGAGGGCTTCCTCTGCCCAGGAACGATGCGCGGTGCTCCTTCTCCTTCCTACGAGCCAATCCTGGAGGCCTTTTGGCCTCCTAACCCTCGGTGCCTCTTTCCCCTGAGCAGGTGCCCATGATCAGTGGCCGGGGCCTGGGCCATACCGGGGGCACCCTGGACAAGCTGGAATCTGTGCCAGGCTTCTGCGTTTCCCAGAGCCCGGAGCAGGTGAGAAGACCGATGCGCTATGCTGATTGATAATTTCCCAGCCAGCAGATCCGGTATTGTGTCATACTTGGTGGTCTCTGAGCTTGGTTGCTTTCTTGCAGACGTCGCATGACCCAGCTAGGTAACATCATCAGTGCTTAGAAGCCTTTTAGCACAAGCCTATAGCAGTGATGTTACCCAGCTGGCTCATGAAATGTCTGCAAGAAAACCACCAAGCTCAGAGAGCAACAAGGACTCCACTATCCTCCTCCTCCTCAAATCCCATCCCTTCTAGCACTGATGATGTTACCTAGTTGGGTAATGAAACGTCTGCAAGAAAACCACCCAGCTCAGAGAGTGCCAAGAACTCCACAGTCGTCGTCGTCCTCCTCCTCCTCCTCCTCCTCCTCCTCCTCCTCTCCACAAATCCCACTCCCTTCTTGCACTGATGATGTTCCCTAGTTGGGTCATGAAACATCTGCAAGGAAACAACCGAGCTCAGAGAGCACCAAGGACCCCACAGTTCTTTTCCTTCCTTCCTTCCTTCCTTCCTTCCTTCCTTCCTTCCTTCCTTCCTTCCTTCCTTCCTTCCTTCCTTCCTTCCTTCCTTCCTTCTTTCCTTCCTTCCTTCGTCTTCTTCTCTTTTTCCTTCTCCTTCTCCTTCTCCTTTCCACTCCCTTCTAGCACTGATGATGTTCCCTAGTTGGGTCAGGAAACGTCTGCAGGAAAACCACCCAGCTCAGCAGCAGGGACCCCACAGTTCAACCCCTGAGCTTCAAAGGTTTCCCTTCTGTCAGTTCCCTTCAATTAGATCCAAAGGGAACTGGTGTGTTTGTGGTTTAAGGTGATGTAGAACGCGGGCTGAGGTTCTCCCAACTCAAGGCTTGCCTGGACAGTGAAGGAAGAACCAGACCAGAATCCTACTTCTTGGACCCCAAACGATAGGCTTTGTTCTCCCGCAGATGAGAGAGATCCTGGAAAAAGCCGGTTGCTGCATCGTGGAACAAAGCCAGTATCTGGTCCCAGCGGACAAGGTCCTCTACGCCCTGAGAGACGTCACAGCCACGGTGGACAGCCTGCCCCTCATAATAAGTAGGTCCTCTGACTCTGGACGGTCCTGGCAGATGCTGAAGTCCTGCAGGGTTTTTCAGTCGTTCAATTTTGGGCTTGTCGGTTTGTGGGGCTCTGTGGTTGTCCCAAAGGCGTTCTTTTTCCAAAAGGCAACTGGACTTTCTTGGGCTTTTTTCCTTGAAAACATTTCGCGTCTTATCCAAGAAGCTTCTTCAGTTCTGGAGAGGTTCTTAAGTTCTTCCGTTAGAACTGAAGAAGCTTCTTAGAAGCTTCTTAGCAACGAAGATAGTTGGTCTGATTGCGGTCACAAATCCAGGACTTCAGAGAAAGAGGCGTGGAAGCTTGGAACCAACGTCCAGGGGACATGGTGGGTCAGTCATTAGGGAATGAGTTTAACACCTTCTTGGGATAAACATATGTTTTGTTGTTGTTGTTAGTTGCGAAGTCATGTCCGACCCATCGCGACCCCATGGACCACGTTCCTCCAGGCCTTCCTGTCCTCTACCATCTTCTGGAGTCCATTTAAGCTCAGGCCTCCTGCTTCAATGACTCCATCCAGCCACCTCCTTCTCTGTTGTCCCTTTCTTCTATTGGCCTCAATCTTTCCCAGCATTAGGCTCTTCTCCAGTGAGTTCTTCCTTCTTGTTAGGTGGCCAAAGCACTTGAGTTTCAACTTCAGGATCTGGCCTTCTAAAGAGCAGTCAGTCGGGGTTGATCTCCTCTAGGACTGACTGGTTGGATCGCCTTGCAGTCCAGGGGACTCGCAGGAGTCTTCTCCAGCACCAAAGTTCAAAGGCCTCCATTCTTTGGCGCTCAGCCTTTCTTAGGGTCCAACTTTCACAGCCATACGTTGCAGCTGGGAAAACCATGGCCTTGACTCTACGCACTTTTGTTGGCAGGGTGATGTCTCTGCACATGTTTATCATCTGCCAATTTAAAAAATGAAATAAAAATAAAATATAAAAAATGTTAATACAAGAAAACCAATTAAGAAGAAAACAAACAAACTCAAAGGAGAGGTTGGGTGTGGGCCACTAGGTCTTCTTCTGCTTTCTGTGCAGAAGAAATTTCCTACGTTTCTATGATGTACAGGGGAAGAGCTGTGCACCATGGACTCAGTGGCTCCTTCCTGGGCTCTTAGGTTCCATCCTGAGTAAGAAGATGGTGGAGAAGCTCTCCGCTCTGGTGCTGGACGTCAAATTTGGCAGCGCTGCCTTGTACCACACTCTGGAGGGTGCTGAGGAACTCGCGCAAAGCCTGGTGAGACCGAAGCGGCCCCGTTCAGCTTCTTTGGAGGGTGGACAGGCGGGTGGTGGGGATGGCGGTTGAAGTCCACAGGTCTTAAAAGTTGCCAAGGTTGGGGAAGCCCTGGTTGAGAAGATGTACAACCCAACAGGACTACCTCACTTACCTTCTTGCAGAAGCTTCCATAGAGATCTGGGCCTTCCCACCAACTGTGGGTGGAGAAATGTCACCTTTCTCGTGCTTTCTCTCCATCTTTCCCAGGTGTCCGTCGGAAACCATCTCGGGACGAAAACAGCGGCAATTCTGAGCAGGATGGATGAGCCCATCGGTTGCCGGGTGGGCAATTCCTTGGAAGTCCTGGAAGCCTTGCAGTGCCTGGAAGGAGGTGGCCCCGAGGACCTCCGTGAGCTGGTGACCACACTAGGTGTGTCTCAGGGAGGACACCTTGAGGGTGCTCCTCAAGCATATACACAAGGTGGGTTAGGAACGTCCTTGGATCAGCCCCGCCAGGTAGACCAGACCACGAGTCAACTTCGTAAGAAAGCTAAGTCTACCTCGACGGAGACGGAGGAACGAACAACCTCTTGCAAGTGGGATTGTGACGTCCCCCTTCCCCTACTTACACCCACGTGAGTTAGGGAGGGGTCTATCTGACCACCTCCGACTTAAGCCATGTTTTTCTGCTTGGTAACAGAACTGGCCTATCTCTGTCAAGGTCACCTTCCTTACTCTCTACACGGTGAAGGTGGATGTCAAGAAAAGGACCTTGTATTATGTAAATTGAGCCAATCAGCAAAGCAGATTCCATCCAGGATGGAATGAACTGTGTGGAAAACTGTACACCAACTTTCCCCAATGTGGTGCCTGCCAGATGTGTAGGAAAGCAGGTTTCAGCTCCTCCTCCTCCTCCTCCATCACCATTACTATCCTTTTCCCTTTTTCTTTCTTTCTTTCTTTCTTTCTTTCTTTCTTTCTTTCTTTCTTTCTTTCTTTCTTTCTTTCTTTCTCTCCTTCTTCTTCTTCTTCTTCTTCTTCTTCTTCTTCTTCTTCTTCTTCTCCTCCTCCTCCTCCTCCTCCTTCTTCTCCTTCTCCTTCTCATTCCTTTATCCTCCCCTTCATTCCTTCTCCTCCTCCTCCACCATCTCCGTCTATCATCTTTCTTTTCTCTTTCGCTCTCTTCTCCTTTTCCTTCCTTTATCCTCCCCTTCATTCCTTCTCCTCCTCCTCCATCTTCCCCTTCTCCATCTCCTCCATCTCCTCCTCCTCATCTATCAGTGCTATCATCTTTTCCCCTTTTTCTTTCTCTCTCTTTCTCTCTTCTTCTCCTTCTCATTCCTTTATCATCCTTCTCCTCCTCCTCCTCCTCCTCCTCCTCCTCCTGCTTGGGGTTGTGAATCCACCAATTGTTCAAACTCTACAACTTGCATCTCTCCCACACAAGCCACCAGGAGGTGATAAGCTGATAAGGGGACATTTGTGCGGTGACGTCATGGTCCCTATGACCCCCCCTCCCCCAATCCCTACCTCTGTAGATGCCTCTGCAGCCCTTTGCTGCAGAAACGAGAAGATCAAGATAGGGGAATAGACTTAAGACGGATTTCATCCTTTGCCCAACCAACACACATCAAATCAAGGCCTATGGCATATTTACTTTTTCAAGAGGGTGAAAAAAAAACCCCAGAAGCTGAAGGATACGTGAATAGGCATTCCTACCTGGAAAAGGGGGTTGGGCTAAATGACCTCGAGGGCCCCTTTTAGCCCTCGGAATCTCCCCCGGGCCCTGCTCGGCCAACAGCCCTGAGCTTCCCCCCCCCATTTTTAAACGCTCCCTCTGGGCTCGCTCAACCGGGCCTCCCTCTCTCGCTACAGGCGGCATCCTGCTGTGGCAGAGCGGGCGAGCTGCCTCCGTGCCGGCGGGGGCCGCCCAGATCGGTCAAGCCTTGGACAACGGCTCTGCCCGGGACGCTTTCCAGGCCATGCTGCGGGCCCAAGGGGTGCAGGCCGAGGCCTCCCGCCTGCTGTGCGAAGGGACGGAGGCGCAGCGGTTGCAGGTGTTGAAGCTGGCCGGCAACCAGGAGGAGCTGCGGGCTCTGCAAGATGGTACGGGATGGGGTGGCTGCCATCTCTCTCCTCCCCCCCCCTTCCCTTCCCTTCTCCTCCCTTCCCTTCCCCTCCCTTCCCTTCCCCTCCCTTCCCTTCCCCCTCCCCAGAGTGGAGGGAGCCTCCGGTCTGCCCGTCTTCTCCTCCTGCAGGGACCGTGCAGCAGATCCAGGCTATGCCCATCGCACAGGTGCTGCATGACTTGGGAGCCGGCCGGACCCAGGAGGGGCAGCGCATCAACCCCCGGGTGGGCGCGGAGCTGCTGGTCTCTACCGGGAAGCGAGTGAGCAAAGGTAACGGCCAGGGCTGCCTGGAGCCGAAGAAAGTGCTGGGCCAACGCCAGGGGAACCTTCGACCAAGGCAAAAGGCTGAGCCCCCCTGAAAAGGGGACCCACATAGCTGCAGAGGCAGCATTCTCTCCCAACCTGGAGGAGGAGGAGGAGAAGGAGGAAGAAGAAGAAGAAGATGTGGGGTCCCTGGTGCTCTCTTAGTTGTTTTCTTCCAGACTTTTCATGACCCAACTAAGGAACAGCATCAGTGCTAGAAGGGAATGGGGTTTGTGGAGAGGAGGGGAGGGGAGGAAGAGGAGGAGGAGGACAATGACTCCTGTGGGGTCCTTGGTGCTCTCTGAATTTTCTTACAGACATTTCACGACCCAACTAGGGAACACCATCAGTGCTAGAAGAGAATGGGGTTTGTGGAGAGGAGGAGGAGGAGGAGGACGACTCCTCTGGGGCCCTTGGTGCTCTCTGAATTTTCCTGCAGACATTTCACGACCCAACTAGGGAACGCCATCAGTGCTAGAAGGGAATGGGATTTATCGCTCTCTCTCTCTCTCCCCCTTTTCCTTCCAGGAACTCCGTGGATTCGAATCCATTACGACACCCCCAGGCTGAGCAACACCCACCGAGAAACCTTGCAGAAAGCCCTGATCCTGGGGGACCTGGAGCCCTTCACCCCCGCCTCAAAGGTGGCAAAAGTCCTTTTTTCTACGGAAGAGTCAGCCACGCCTGGATCTCGGGCAGAGAGCCAAGGGGCCTCTGAGAAGGAGCAGGGCCTGGACCGGGCGGCCGAAGGACCTGGGGTCCCACCCAAGGCCCCACCCTTAGATTAAGACCCTTCTCAGGAGGACGGGAGGAGGCGGGGTCTGCAAGACAGAGCCTGCAAAGGGCTTCCATGGTCCCCTCCAGAAGGTAGGGGTGGACCTGGTGGCCCAGACTGGGGAGCTCCCAGCTTGGAGAAGGTCGACTTATGTCAGGGGTAGGCAACCTTGGCTCTTTTATGACTGGTGGACTTCAACTCCCAGAATTCCTGAGCCAGCATGGGGGAACTATGGCCCCCTCATGACTGGTGGACTTCAACTCCCAGAATTCCTGACCCAGAATGGGGGAACTAGGGCCCCCTCATGTCTCGTGGACTTCAACTCCCAGAATTCCTGAGCCAGCAGGGGGGAAGTATGGTCTCCTCATGACTGGTGGACTTCAACTCCCAGAATTCCTGAGCCAGAATGGGGGAACTAGGGCCCCCTCATGTCTCGTGGACTTCAACTCCCAGAATTCCTGAGCCAGCAGGGGGGAACTATGGTCCCCTCATGAGTCGTGGACTTCATCTCCCAGAATTCCTGAGCCAGCAGGGGGGAACTATGGTCCCCTCATGACTTGTGGACTTCAACTCCCAGAATTCCTGAGCCTGCCTGGCTCAGCTTGGAAACTCTCCCTTTCCCCTCAGCATGGCTGGCTCAGGAATTCTGGGAGTTGAAATCCACGAGTCATAAAAGAGCCAAGGTTAACTACCCCTGACTTATGTGGTCATTGAGGGACAATTTCAACTTGATGCTCACATCCTCAGCCGTCAGGTTGAAGGTCCGAACCTGTAAGTCGTCCTCCGAAACCAGAACCAATTTTTGTCAATAAATCCTACCGTGCTTGTGATTTATCTCGTCCGATCGCGTAAGCGGGCGGGCATCAAAATGGCGCAGTTGTGTGAGGCTAGAGCTTGCCAGTTGACCGACACAACTTTATGTGCTCTTTAGAATTTAGAGTAGAATGGAGCTGGAAGGGACCTTGGAGGTCTTCTAGTCCAGCCCCCTGCTCAAGCAGGAGACCCTGTATACCATTCCAGACAAGTGCCTGTCCGGTCTCTTCTTAAAAGCCTCCAGTGATGGAGCACCCACAACTTCTGGTGGCAAGCCGTTCCACTGGTTAATTGTCCTGTTAGGAAGTTTCTCCTTCATGCCAGGTTGCTTCTGTCCTTGATTAGTTTCCAGCCATTTTTTTTTTGTCCTGCCCTCTGGGGCTTTGGAGATGAGGTTGACCCCCTCCTCTTCTTTGTGGCAGCCCCTCAAATACTGGAATACGATCCTCATGCAATCATGTTTACATCCATCCATCCATGGATTCTTGGCTCCTTTTTGCCCCAAAGGTTTTAAGGCCCGGCAGGGGTTTTGCCTCCAGAAATTATGATTATGACTGCGTAGATCAGTGGTTCTCAACCTGTGGGTCGGGACCCCATTTGGGGTCAATCGACCATTTCATGGGGGTCGCCAAGCAAGGCTGTCCGCCATTTTTTTGTCCGCCATTTTTTTTGTCCGCCATTTTTTTCCCCTTTTTCAGCGGGTGCCTTACCTCCCTTGGGCTGGGCCAGCTGGTGGTCGGCCTGCTCCGTCTCTGCCGCTTGCCAGCTACGCCTCGGCCGGCGCAGGGGGCGGAACCACGCATGCACGGCGCTCCCAGGCAGGGAAAGTCCTCGACTTACAACCGGTTGGGTAGTCCTCGACTTACGACCGGTTTAGTCCTCGACTTACGACTGGTTTAGTCCTCGACTTACGACCAATTTAGTCCTCGACTTACGACCGGTTGGGCTCGCGGCATTAAAAAGGTTGAGAACCACTGGCGTAGATTATCCACTGGGCACTTTTAATCCCTGCCAACCCAAAGCCAGTTAACTGATGCTAACTAATTCAACATGTAACAAAATTATTCATATATATAGAGAGATATATTTATATACAGTACTTTGAAATTTATCAATCCTGTCAATGCACTAACATTGAGCAAAACTGGAACGGCAAGGCTAAAAAAAACCCAAAACCTAGAAGTCCCTGAAAAAGGTAAATAAACACCAGCGGTCACCGTGAAACGCTTTAAATTTCCTAAAGGTTGCAAGAGAAAGCCGCGAAAATCAGCATTCGGGAGATATAAAGCGTCAGCCTAAATTAGCGAAGATCGAAGGGATGGCAAGCCCTTGATACGGGCACCTGATTTCTTGGAAGAACAAGAGGCGTCGTTGGGCGTTTTCGTTTCCTGAGGGCACCCGGGGCCACTCCAGGAGCGAGCCGCCATAGCATAAGAGGAAAAAAAGGACATTTTGGGGTTTGCGTTGATGGTTTCAAGGCACGACTTGCTTGCACAGGCAGCTAATCTTCTCGGCGCAGGGTCTGGTGAAGGCCTTTCCCTTGCTAATCGCCACGCAACTTTCTCTGGAGACGAAAGGCTTCGTTAGCTGTACAGGCCTGCCGGGGGATTAAAAAAATAACAGAGTTACTGATCCAAAGCGCAGCGCCCCAGTACAGTGAGCCCTTGACTTATAACCCTTTAATCATAATAGTAATAATAATAATAAAGTTGGAAGCTCGACATGGCGAAGTTGCCACGGGACAACTCGCTGCAGGAGAATTTAACCTTTCAATTTAATTATTTAAAATAAACAGAACAAAATAGTTTAAATGTTTTGTCGTTCCCATTTCATGCCTTTGTTTGATATTAGGGCAGGGGTAGGCAACCTTGGATCTTTTATGACTGGTGGACTTCAACTCCCAGAATTCCTGAGCCAGCAGGGGGGAACTATGGCCCCCTCGTGACTCGTGGACTTCAACTCCCAGAATTCCTGAGCCAGCATGGGGGAACTATGGCCCCCTCGTGACTCGTGGACTTCAACTCCCAGAATTCCTGAGCCAGCATGGGGGAACTATGGCCCCCTCGTGACTCGTGGACTTCAACTCCCAGAATTCCTGAGCTAGCAGGGGGGAACTATGGCCCCCTCATGACTCGTGGACTTCAACTCCCAGAATTCCTCAGCCAGCCTGACTCAGCTTGGAAACTCTCCCTTTCCCCTCAGTGTGGCTGGCTCAGGAATTCTGGGAGTTGAAGTCCACGAGTCATAAAAGAGCCAAGGTTGCCCACCCCTGTTTTAAAGTTTAAAGAAAGGACCCCTCCGATGAGCTCCACCTCTTGACCACGCAGCCCTGGGGGGGGGAGAGGGGACACTCACATCCGGAGGTGCAGGAGGCCTCCGTCTGCCCAGTGCCAGGTCCCCCGAGACAGGTTGAAGAACAAACCGATCCAGGTCCTCTGCGGGACGTAGCTGTGGTTAACCAGGATGACCCATTTGTGGGACTCTCGGAGCAGGAATTCCTAGGAATAAGAAGCCGGTCGGATTCTGGCCACAGTCCAGGAAGGTGGGAACTCGGGGCTGTCCGGAGGAAACCACCCCAAATTCTGGACGCCCAAGGACAGGGGTCACCGTGCACCTCAGCAACGTCCACCCTTTCACGTAAAGAAGTGTTGGAGCAGGGTTCACCTCTTGATACGGAAGACTCTTAAAGTGTATATTGAGACAAAACCAGAGACTTTACTTCTATAAAAGAATAACAGAGTTGGAAGGGACCTTGGAGGTCTTCTAGTCCAACCCCCTGTGCGAGCAGGAAAACGTATGCTATCCCAGGCAAATGGCAGCCCAGTCTTTCCTTGAGAGATGAGAAATAGATATAGAAAGAGAGAGGGGGGGGGGGTAGATAGAGGAGGGGATAGAATGGATAAATACATATAGACAGGTGATGGTAGGAAGGTAGGAACATAAGTAGGTAGGTAGAGAGAGATAGATGGAATAGATAGATGATAGATAGATAGATAGATAGATAGATAGATAGATAGATAGATAGATAGATAGATAGATAGATAGACAGACAGACAGACAGACAGACAGAGATGAGAGAGAGAGAGAGAGAGAAATGGAATAGAGACAGACAGACACAGTAGATATTAGAAAGGTAGGTTGAGATAGATAGATAGATAGAT